ACAGGTGCAGAAGCCAGGAGGGACCCTAATTAAAACCCTAAACCCTAAACCCTAAACCCTCCAGGAAGACCTCATGGTTCGGGGTCGGCGACCTTGGTGGGCTCTGGTACTCCACGCCCACAGAAGGGGAGTGCTGCCCGGCGGCTTTCGGGGGAAGGGGGGGGGTGTTCAGGGTTTAGGGTTTGGGGTTTAGGGTTTAGGGTTTAGGGTTTAGGGCCTGCGGGGGGTTTAGGAGGTACAGAGTTCAGGGGGGTAAGGGTTTGGAGTTTGGGAGAGCTTAGGCGTGTTTCGGGTTAACCCCAAAGTGCTGGAGGCCTAAACGAGCGCTTGGGGGGTTTTCTTGGATCGCCCTGTTAGTACCCGTGAATACCCATAATGATCCCCTTCATTTTGGGGCCTGAGGCTTTCATGATGGCTAATCTGATGGGGGGTGGAGGAAGTCCTTCGCGCGCATCAAGGATTTTGAGGCCGACCTTGGGTTTTGGAGAGCGCGGGGTGGATTAAGGGATTGGGAGTTTAGGGCTTAGGGTTTGGGATTCTTGGAGCTTCTTCTATGCCATGCCGAGGCAGCACTGGCGCCGAACTGGGGGATGCGGGCTGCACGTGGCGCGAGGTGCAGCTCTAATGAAGGGTCTAGGGTTCAGGGTTTAGGGTTTAGGGTTTAGGGTTTAGGGTTTAGGGTTTAGGGTTTAGGGTTTAGGGAAGGACACGATAGTTGTGTTCCTTTGAAGCGAAAGTGCCCACCTTGGGCCCTGACGTGACCGAACTCCTCCCTCCCCATCTCACCCAGATACCCTGTTCCTATCGTACGGAAATTAGAGTTTGGGGTTCAGGGTTTAGGGTTTAGGGCCTAGGGTACTGTGCCCCAAGCAGGGGCGCAAGTGTGTTTGAGAACGAAGCCCGGCCACTAAGCGCAGGTGGCGTCGGCCTATAAGAACGCCAGCTGTGTGGGCCAGAAGGTGGATACGGTGGTGGAGCGGTTCCTTGGAGACAGGACTTGCGTTCAGGGATTTAGGGTTCTGGGGCTTGGAGTGTTGGGGTGAAGCGCATGGGAGGGTTTACGGTTTAGGTGGATCGTGTTCCAGCCACTGCGCAAGGCGTGGGTCGAACGATTGCGTCTCAAGAGACCGGGTTCGCTTAACATCTGTGGCGCCCGGGCCCTAAAGCTTGTGAACCCTGGAACCATGCAAACCCTAGAAGCTTCTAGAAACCCTCAACCCAAGATCCCTAAACCCTGGAAACCTTAAACCCTGAGCCCGAAACACTAAACCCTAGAACCTCAGAAACCTTGAAACCTGAACACTAGACATTGCGAACCCAAGAAGCCCCCTAGACCCCCTAGAAACCCTGAAACCTGAACACTAGACATTGCGAACCCAAGAAGCCCTGAACCCTAAACCCGACAAACCCTAGAACCCCAGAAACCTAAGAAGGACTAGAAAGCCATAGAAACCCTTAGAAACCCTAAACCCTAAACCCTAAACCCCAAACCCTAAACTCGAGGTATGGCGCAGCCTGCTTCGGCCTCTGCCCACAGCCGCTGAACCACACCTCGGACTCGAAGGGAAGGGGAATGGGTTCAAGGTTCAGGGTTCAGGGTTCAGGGTTCAGGGTTCAGGGTTTAGGGTTTAGGGTTTAGGATTTTGGGTTTAGGGTTTAGGGTTCAGTTGTATTTGCCACCCCCAAACTGCCAAAATCCTGAACTCCAATTGCAGGAGTTGATCTAAATGTTGGGCCCTTTTCTTGGGCACGCTACATCATAGCTAAGGAGTAGGCTGTAACATACTACTGGAGATTCGACAAGGGCACTATATTTCATCTTCGGACACATGCCCCCCATATGAGGATTTCCGGTTCTCGTCTCCGGGTTCAATTCTTGGTCTGAAGGACACAGCTGCACCTTGCCAGAGGGCATCCGTGCATCCAGTCCCGTGCAGGCAGATGTAAACTTAAAAGACAGTTCAGAGTCTCGTATACCAAACCCTCCAGCACACCCTGAACCCTCAACCCTAGACCCTAAACCCTAAACCCAAGTTCTGAAGGACTGCTACTTGAGCTGCTATCGCGACATACTGAGCGGCAATGCTGCAAGGAACATGACCAGGACGCCTGTCATCTCCTGCGTCCTTGGGTGTGTAGGGGCTACTAGTTCAGCACTGACTCTGAGGCTGTTTACTGTTTAGGGTTTAGGGTTTCGATTGCATTGCAAGTGCAGGGCGTCGACGCTCCGGGTTTTCTAAGTAGTCACGTCCCCAAGCTCCCTGCATCCCGTTCCAAACACCTTTTCTCCCTCCCTAAACTTAGACACGGGTTGCACACCCGCGAAACATACCCCGTAACATACCCCCGAAATTGCAGGTAAAGTAGCTCATGATGCCGCGAAACATACCCGAAACATACCCCCGAAACATACCCGCGAAACATACCCTGATCCCAACACCTGTCGCCCGCCCCCCCCCCCCCCCCGCCCCATTATAACACAAACCCATAAACGCATTTAATGTAAAGCTTTGTTTGCGCACGTATAGTATATGAATATGTACATATATATATAGATAGATATAGATATGTATGTATACAGATATGTGCGTTTATTCGCATGCACTTTGCAAACCCCTGAAGCCGGGAGTTCCTGAACTTGAATCTGTTCGCCTCGACACCTCCAAAAAAAAACCTACACACATCCCGCAGACCGAGGATCCCACCCAAGATGGTGATCGACGCTTGGGTCCATGCTCTTGAACGGTCGCCGGCAGCAGGAGGACGTGAAAGGGTCTGGGGTTTACGGTTTAGGGTTTAGGGCTTCGGGCTCAGTGCTTGGGGGTTGCTGGTTCCCCAAGCCCTCGCTCCTAATCCTGTATTTCCTTTGCCCCCATTGTTTCAGGGCGCGTTGTACCAGGACGTATATACTATGGGGGTTTACGAAAATAGAGGACCCCCAATATAGATCCCGTAATGGTAGGATCCCCTTATCATCAGGACCCCAACAAGGTACCCCTAATTTCGGAACCCCCCCATATGAATCAAAGTTACGGGCGTAGCCTGCCCCAAAGGTATATTTTGTGGAGGTTTAGTTAAAGCTTATTTGTCCCGAAAGTCCTGCACAAGCGCTAACTACAAGCCCCAAGCCCTAAACCCCTAACATCCGCAGCAGGACCCCGGAAATAGAATCCCTCAGACCCGAAACCCTAAACCCTAACTCTTTCTTGTCCTTAGAGTCTTAGAGTTCCTTGCAGCGCCCTGAAACCCTAAACCCTAAACCCTACACCCTACACCCTAAACCCTAAACCCTAAACCCTAAACCCTAGACCCTAGACCCTAGACCCTAAACCTTAAACCTTAAACCCTAAGCCTACAAACCCTAAACCCTCGACCCTTAAGGCCCTCTCACTCCCAGAGGCTGCCCGACCGTGGCCCCGGAGCCGTGCCGGGGCCGGCAGTGCGACCCTCTCCTTTTGGCCGAGGCGGAGGCAGGTTCGGTTTAGAGGTTTGGGGTTTAGGGTTTGGGGTTTAGGGTTTCGAGTTTAGGGTTTAGAGTTTGGGGTTGAGAGCGTTGACACAGCAATGTATTTCTTGGTTGTTGAGGGTTTAAGGGTTGAGGCGTTTCGGGGTTTAGGGTTGTGAGCCTGAGTGCGACAGCTTCCGCACTCTTGACATAAACTACCCCTCCCTCCCCAAGGTCCTAAACCTCAGACCATACAGACACTGTGGGATGCTCCCCCTTATACTAACAGTCCTTAATTGGGAGTATAATAGGGGGTACGGTAATCGCCATTAACTAAGGACTGTGAGTATAAGGGGGAACATCCCAACATACACTTTAAGCACTTTCAGCAAAGTACTATAAATCACTGCATAATGGGAATGTTCAGTATTCGGGGGGTGGGGAGGCAAGCGTATGTAGGATTTAGGGGTTAGTTTGGGCCACGCTTTACAGAGTGCGCGCAGAAGAGTCCTCAGCAGGCTTTGCGTTGCTCCCCATACATCCCAAACAAAGCCCCACGAAACCGTAATAAACCCTATATATATATATATATATATGTATGATTCAGCCCCGGCGGCCCCCCCCCCCCCCACACCCCCCCCCCCCCCAATGGTCTACACAATGGTCATATACTATTATACTTTTCATTATACTGAGATGCAACGCCTGCCACTTTGCACCCCCCCCCCCCCCTGTGGTGTGGTTGGGGGTTTGGGTTTGGGGTTTGGGTTTAGGCTTTCTTTTTAAGAACGAGGGTTTAGGGTTTAGGGTTAGGGTTTAGGGTCTAGGGTCTAGGGTTTAGGGTTTAGGGTTTCAAACTTTAGGGTTCAGGGTTTTGCCCACCCCGCCCCCCCCCCCCCCCCCCCCCTGTGGTGTGGTTGGGGGTTTCGTTTAGGGTTTAGGTTTAGGCTTCCTTGGTTTAGGGTGTTTAGGGTTTAGGGTTTCAAACTTTAGGGTTGAGGGTTTTGCCCCCCCCGCCCCCCCCGCCTGTGGTGTGGTTGGGGGTTTCCTTTAGGGTTTAGGTTTAGGCTTCCTTGGTTTAGGGTTTAGGTTTAGCCTTCCTTACTCAGGGTTGACGGTTTAGGCTGTAGGGTTTCAGGCTTTAGGGTTTCAAACTTTAGGGTTGAGGGTTTTGCCCCCCCCTCCCCCCCCCTAAACCCTAAAGCCTAAACCCTAAACCCTGAACCCTAAACCCTAAATGACGACAAGGGTCACGCATAGGGGTTAGACCTATCGCCTGCTCTGCAGGGCGTGCCTCCCATGTCAGCGACATGTGTCTGCAAGCATGGTGTGTCTGCAAGCATGGCTCCAATGTTATCGAGACTTTGCCCACACACCCAGGGCCTTCAATTAGCTGAACTGCACCGTGCCACAGGATATAAGACCTCCTAAACCCTAAACCCTAAACCCTCAACCCTTTACCCTTAACCCTGAACACCTAAACCCTAAACACTAAACTCTAAACCCTAAACCCTAAACCCCAAACGCAGCCTTGCTTGACTTAATTATTGCATGCATGGCTGTCTCAGCAGCACTGCGATTCATCAATGCGTTCCCTGAAGCAACGAGTTGGTCGGTGACAATATTGACTGAGGACTGCGAGCAGGGCTCTGTCAACATGGCACCTTCTGACTTTTATGCTTTAGGGTTCAGGGTTTTGCCCACCCCGCCCCCCCCCCCCCCCCCCTGTGGTGTGGTTGGGGGTTTCGTTTAGGGTTTAGGTTTAGGCTTCCTTGGTTTAGGGTGTTGAGGGTTTAGGGTTTCAAACTTACTTTAGGGTTGAGGGTTTTGCCCCCCCCCCCCCCCTTTGGCCAGTGCCAATGTGAAGCGAAGTCTACTTTCAGCAGTGCTTGGGGTTTTCGGTTGCATGGCCGAAACTCTGCGAGGACAAGAGCCGAGCCATCGTACAACGACCGGCTCTGCCAACAAACGCACTCCGAGCTAATGTGGAGCGTTGGCTGAGACAGCCACAGACCCACTTTTTCGTGAGACCGCAGCTTTCAACCTTGGTGCTGGTTGATTTGGACTGCTGCAACGTGCCGCTGGACAAGCTCGTGGCACTCAAACCGAGAGCATTGACGAAAACCAGTGCTCCCAGTAACTTCCAGTTGTGGCTCACTCTCTCCGACTCCATGAGGGCTAAGTCCAGTCTGGTTGTGGCACGTGAGCTGACAGCCTCTTTGCAAGGCGACATGAATGCCTGCACAAGCTCCCAGCAAGGACGCTTACCGGGCAGTACCAATGTGAAGCCAGACAAAGGTGACATAGTGGAGCTCGTGCTGGCCGAAACACAGCACATGGACGAGGCGACATACTTGAGCATGACGCCTACCCCGAAGCTCCGGTTTGACCCTGTGCAGGACGAAGTGGCTGTCGGAAGCCTGCCCGCGGCCAGACCTCCCGTGTCAGACAACTCGGCGAAAGATTGGGCAATGTGCTGTGTCTTCCTCGAAACGCGGCCACATGTGTCACTCGAAGACGCAAAGAAGGCTTTGTCTGGTCGCTTTCTTGCCAGACGGCCCAACCAGACCTACTACGAGAACCTCACTCTCGAGAAAGCTTGGCAACGCGTCCGGCGCCTTCCAGACCGTCCAGAACTTCTTGAGCCAGTTGCTGAAGCAGCTGCTCCTGCAGTTGCTGCTGCACCTGCTCCTGGAGCTCTGCCTGTACCACCTGCAGTGTCTGCAGCTGCTCCTGCACCTGCTCCTGCGCCAGCTAATGGTCAGAGTCTGACAGCTCAGGACGGGTACTTTCACTGAAAGGCGTAGCCGGTAACGAGGTTTCCGAACCCTGAACCCTAAACCCGACACTATAAGTCCTCAACCCTACACCCTGAACCCTCAACCCTAAACCCTGAACACAGGACGTGAAGCGCTTGCTGGCCCAAGAGCTCCAGAAACGCTTCCCGGACCAGCCTACCAGCAAGAAGTGCGCTACTTGCGAGCAAGTAAAGGACCGTGCACTCTACGCGGCTTCTGTGTGGCCTTCCAAGGAGCGGACTTGACGCCATACTAACCTCAATATCCCTGAACATTGCTGAACCCTTAAGCAACTTTACCCTGCATACTCAGTCCCCTGCTGCAAGCACCCTGCCAGGAGCCAGTGTGTCTCGCATGCAAGCCAGTCGACGAAAAACTTCGAAAGAGAGTCAAGGCTTCTCGCGTCTGCTCCGTCTGCAAAACCGACATGCCGAGAGACAAGTACAGCACCTCGCAGTGGGCCTTGGGCGAAGCTGGTAAATGTACGTCCTGCGCTGCTGCAGCTTCTGTGGCAGCTGTGCGCGGGAAAGACTCCCAGCCGAAGAAAGAAAAGCTCTGCAGTGCCTGCGGTGCTTTACGGGGGTCTGGCAACTTCACCGTCTCGCAGTGGCAACAGCCAGATAGCACGCGCAAGTGCAAGGACTGCACTTGCGCCAGCCAGGCTACTACCTCCAAAGTCTGCGTCGTCTGTCAGGAAGACAAACCGAAGGAATGCTTCGCCAAGTCCCAGTGGCAGAAGCCACTGAAAATCGGCAGCACTTGCAAGGACTGCTGTCGCACGAGGCTGCAGCAGGGCCAGGATGACTCTGTCAACAACCACACCGGCCAGCATGGAACGGGTGCCGAAGAGTCACTCTGGCCTCGAGATGCTGACAAGGCTACGGCCGTGCGCTTCATCATGGCGGCTGACGACGACGTGCTCCCGTCAACCGACCTCAAAGCGTACCAGGCTGTGCAAGCTACGATGGGCCGTGCAGACTGGACTGCGCTGCGTATGCAGCCCGACAGCAGCGGCATCTCAGTGCCCGACAAGATCAACTACCTCTACCAAGCACACCTTGACCTGTGCCACCTCAGAGGACGTGCTGGCATCGTTTCGGCTCTGAAAAGCGAAGGTCTGAACTGGTGCAATATTTCCTTGGACGCTTCCTGGTGCGTCGCAAGGTGCGAGCAGTGTCGCGCCAGAACAACGAGGCAGTGCATCAGGCCACAGTCACGACACCTACCGACACCAGGACTAGCAGGTCAGGTGGTCGGCGTGGACCTCAAGAGAGTGACCCCGCACGATACCTCCCCTCGCTGGTGCATGCTCGTCTGCGTGGACTTTGCCACGTGGCGTGTTTCTGCTTGGTCACTCGATGATGGCGCCGCAACCGTCGGCAACGTCCAGGGAGTCTTGATCAGGCACTCTCAAACCCACCCTAAACCCTAAACCCAAAAACCCGAAGCCCTGAAGACTTTCAAAGTACTGGCGAACCTCCACGAAAAGAGCTAAACCCTAAACCCAAAAGCCCGAAGCCCTAACCCAAGGCCTTTCAAAGTACTGGTGAACCTCCACGAAAAGAGCCCTGCAGCCCTCAGCCTGGTAGAACCCAACAACGCAGGTATTTCCAAGACTTCGACCTTCCCATCTGCGTTCACTCTGACAACGGCTCTCAGTTTACCAGTGTCATCTCCGAGGCAAGGTTGCGTCAAGTTCTATGGCCTAACCCTTGAGTATCAAATGTAGTACAAAATATTGCTTTTTGTCTCTGTGAAATAAGCATTCCTGGCCATCAGGCACTCAAGCGGGCGATTGGCCTTCGCAACCGGACGATCCCACCGGGTCATCCGCAGAGTAACGGCTTGACGGAGTGCATGAATCGTGTGCTTGACTATGCTCACGGAGGGGTCCGGGAGAGATTGCAGGCAGCAGTGCTTGCATACAACTCCGCACCTCTGCAGAAGTTCGGGGTGGCGCCCGAAACTCTTTGGTGGGTGATGCGGCCCTTGGAATCTCGATGGCGTAATGTGGGCCTCAGGCAGATCCTGTCTGAAGAGGCAGAGATGACAGATGAGCAGTGGCTCGACTTCCTGCGCAAGGATCAAGCATTGGGACCAGAGCATTACAAGAAGATGGCGGACGACTTCCATGTCAGATTACAGCCCATTCAGGCTGCCGTCGAGAACGCGCATATGCGGGCAGCACTCAAGAAAGATATCGCATGCAAGCGCAAACGAGCAGCTGTGGATGTCATCCTCGTGACCGGAGACAGGGTCATCGCAAAAAATTCCCAGTACACCAGTAAGTCTGGCGGGGGTAAATTCCTTTGTCGGGCCGGACGGGTTCGTGACTTCGTGGTGCTCGAGAACAGCGCCGGCAGTGTGAAGCTCCAAGCAAACGATACAGGAGAAGTGCTCGTGAGACATGAGGGAGACTTGAAACTTTTGCCCAAAGCTCAGCCTCCAGAACCTGCAAGCACTCCTCTCGAGAGACCGCAGAAGCGCATCCGAAGCAAGGGCCCCTCCGGTGCCTGACCTGCACGCAAAAGTGAAGACCAGTGTCCGCATGCCTTCACAATCCCCACAAGCCTCAAGTCAAACCCAGTCTCCTCATCCCTTAAGCATCCTTGTCCTTGAGGCCTTTCCTCATCCCTTGAGCCTAAACCGCAGCTCAGCATAGTCCCAAAGAACCCAGAACCCAAAAAGCAATATCTGCATCCCTTATAGGCAAGCCTCAACGAAAGGAACCCAAAAGGCCAGTATCCTCACGCCCTTAGAGTCCGTATCCCTCCAAACCACAACACGCAAAGCAAAGGGTTTAAGGGTCTTGGGGGGGGGGGGGGGATATTATGGGGGCCCGACGCCGAACCATATATATATAATATACATATACATATAGCCCTACAACCTGAAAGCCCCAAGCCCCAGCCAATCCTTCAACCCCGACTAATCTCTGCAGCTGAATGGCTCCTCCCCTGAAGCCAGGAGATCAGCGAGATAGTGGTCTGAAGCAGGACCCTGCTCGCCGGGGCTTACATAGGGTTTGGGGTTCAGAGATTCAGGGGGGTATCGAGTTCAGGGTTTCGGTACTCCGGGTTTAGTTTGGAGACTCCCGGGTTGGGGATTCAGGGTTCCTTTCGAGTTCAGGCTTGAGGGCTTCAGATGAATCAGTGCTCATGGGGTCTCAAAGGTTGAGGGCGGAGTGCTCGACTTCTGCGTAAGGGCGCAGCGAGAAGGGTGCCCTAAGCGTGAGCCCTTGCAAAGGCAGCGCCTGCATCGAGAGGTTCTGCCTTGGGGGTTGGTTGTTGAGCGACAGCCTGAGGTATGTAGTGCTCATGGCTGCTACAATGAGTCTTGGTCTCCGACAGCAAGACCCCCGGCCGCCCCCCCCCCAAAAAAAAAAAAAAATAATAAAGAACAAACCCAGAGCCCGCCAGAGCCTGACATCCTAGAAGCCCCAAACTCGACCTATGCACTAGGGTTTAGGGTTTGGGTTTTCTGTGCCTCCAAAATGGACTTGGAGTGTGGTGCTGGGAATGCGGAGTGTTCTCAGGACCTGCCAGGCGCAGCCACCGTGGCTCTCCTTGACGCTTGGTCAGCGAGCAAGCCGGCAGTGGGAACAAAAAGCGCGCGTAGCTCAAATATCAACTCAAAGTGGCCCCCAAAATCCTAAAACCCCCAAAAGGGTTTAGGGATTAGGGTTTAAGGCTTAGGGTTTTGGGTTTTGGGTGACTTTGAACCCTAAACCCTAAAGTGCAAAGATCAGAGACTGTAAAGTGCAAACCCAGCAAACTTCTTTGGGGCTTACTGTAGGGTCCTAAGGCTAGGTAACCCCTCTCATCTCAGTCGAGAAGGTTGAGGCTTCGGTTGAGGCTTCAGGTTTGGGTTTGGGATTCAGGTTTGGGGTTTAGGGTTAGGGGTTTAAAGAGTGTAGGGTTTACCGCAGTAGGCATTGTGGAACGACGCTCGCAGCTGGACTCGTTCACTCTTCAACAAACCTTCTGCATGTTGGTTAATATGAGTTCAAGTGCTTAAGGTTTAAACGTTCGAGCCATCGGGTCTCCGTTAGGATTTGGTGTGTTCCTTACTTGAGGGTGCCAGCGCTCAACACAAGTGCAAGGTGCGGGTTGTGCCTGACCGAACATGAAAACCGAAGCCCTAGATCAAGATCGCCCAACCAAATCGATCCAACCCCCGTTGCAAGTCACTAAACCCAGACTGCTTTTTAACCCCCGAAACCGCAAGACCCTAAACCCTAAGCCCTCAACCCTTAACCTCAAACCTCCAAACCCTAACCCGTTTCTTCTGAACGCTTGGCGGCCATTGAGCTCCTTCCACTTGAGCCCTAGGCAGAAGCCAGGAGGCATTGGGTTTAGGGGGTCAAGGTAGCTGTTTTGTATATTTTCCTGGGTTTAAGAGGATCTGTAGACATATGCTTTGAGAGGGTTGAAGATGTCAACCTCAAGGAAAATCCCGGCTTGGGTAGAGGATGGGAACATGTCGAGTTGGGGCGTGAGTTGAAGGCTTGCAAGGCTCAGTCGGTGTTGACTGTTGAAGAAAAAACCGGGAGGGTTGCTAGGGTGTTAGCACTTGGGGCTCCAGGGGTTTACGCCGATTTTAACAGCCAGAGCGCAGGTTGTAGCAGAAGCCAGAACGGCCATGGACGCCCTGGAAGTGGCCAACGCCCCAGGGACGGACGCCGAGAACGGGCCGCTTGTGAAGAAGCTCGGACCATGCTCGGAGCACGAGGACCTTCTCCACTACTTGCTTAAGAACCCCCCAAAAAGTAAACACGATTCCTCCTTACAAGGGTAATATAGGGAATATTTTCTAGATTTTTGTGCGGCGTTTTCAAGCAAATAGTAGTTCTGGTGTCTTAAGACAGAAACAGCCCCTTTTTTCCATATGCTCCCTAAGTCCCAAGCCTCCCGCTCTATACACCAGCATAATGCGGGAGCCCAGCTCGTCTTGATCCCTAAACCTTGAATCCAAAAGCCCAAGCCCTAAGCCTTGAACACTAAACCCTAAACCCCAACACCCTAAATCCTACCAACCCTGAGCCCGAGTTTCAAGGAGCTCAAAGATGGCTTTCAGACATCCTGGATGATTATGGCGGGGATTTACCTGGTGCCGGCCACGGCGTGGGTGATGTCGGCAGCTTGCCTCCCGTGAGGGCTTTGGGGGCTCAAGGGACGTTTAGGGTTAGGGGTGTTTAAGGTTTAGGGGTTTAGGGGTTTTGGGGTTTTGGGGTTTTGGGGTTTGGGGTTTAGGGTTTCGGGTTTAGGGTTTAGGGTTTGGCAGACTGAGGTTTACGGGTGAACGGTAGAGCCTCGCATCGGTGGGTTCTGCCCTTTTTCCTGAACATTACACTCTGCACCCTGCTCTTAAACCCTATATAAACCCTAAACCCTAACCCTAAACCCTAAACCCTAAACCCTAAACCCTAAACCCTAAACCCTAAACCCTAAACCCTAAACCCTAAACCCTAAACCCTAAACCCTAAACCCTAAACCCAGCCATAAACCGCCAGACCATTCTAAGACCCCTAACTTGAGCCCTCAATTCTATGAACCCAACGTCGTCCTTCGGCACCGTAGCGGCTTGGAGACAGGCTGAAGCCATCAACCGCTGTCAGACTCTACAATAATACCCCCACGCCCCGGACTCCCGCAGTCCGAAGCGCCCCTTCGTCATCAAAGCTCGAATACGTAAACCCGAAGCCCCCAAAACCCTGAGACATCGAAGCACTTAAGCCCGGAACGCCTGAACACTGAACACCTAGAATCCCCAACCCTGAACCCTAAGCCGCGAACCCTAATAAACTCTAAACCCTGAACTGAACCCAAGCCCCAAGCCCTAAACCCAAACAAGAGCCCTGAACCTTGAACCCTGAACCCTAAACCCTAAACCCAAACCCGAGCAACCGTTCCTTCGCAGGTCTGGCTCATGTACTTCGTCGCCGGCATTGATGATCCCGCAGCACCTTGCTCCAGCTAGCGAGCACAAAGTCCCTGTTGCCCGGATTAGGGATAGGATTTAGGGGTTTAGGGGTTTAGGGGTTTAGGGGTTTAGGGGTTTAGGGGTTTAGGGGTTTAGGGGTTTAAGGGTTTAGGGGTTTAGGGGTTTAGGGGTTTAGGGGTTTAGGGGTTTAGGGGTTTAGGGGTTTAGGGGTTTAGGGGTTTAGGGGTTAGGGTTGAGGATGCCCTAAACCCTACACCCCTAGTCCCCCATGCCCTAAAACCCTAGGCCGCCACAGCCTCAGATTTTGAACCCCAACCCCTGAAGCCCTGAAGCCCTGAAGCCCTGAAGCCCTGAAGCCGAACTGCCCAAACCCTGACACCGCCAAACCTCATCCCGAATGCTTCAAAGCCCTAAACCCCTAAACCCTATTCCCTGAGACCCTGAAACCCTAATGCCTAAACCCAAAAACCGTGAAGCCCCAAACCTCGCAACCTGCAAGCTGGTCACCTTACAAGCTAGGTTGGATTCTGGGACATTTTTTCCTTATTTGGGTTTATAAGGGACCCTATATTAGGTGGCTCTCAACATGGTTGCCCTTTTTCGGATCGCTATTCTAATACGGCACCTAATATTTTGGGTACCCCCAAACGGATCATAATTCTGAGAACCGCCCTATATATAAATAATTTTGAGGGTGTTTAAAGACCTGACCAGCAAAGAGTTCGGAGTTTGGTTTCGTTTCCCTCCTTCTTCCCCTGAGACCCGAGCGTCGGTCTTATTGTGGTGACTTCTACTAAGATCTACTAAGGGTTTCGGGTTTAGGGTTTAGGGTTTATTATAGGGTTTAGGGTTTAGGGTTGCAACTATGGGCCCTTCGTATGGCCCCTTACCCTTGTGTACAAGGGCATCCGAAGTATGGGCCCGGGTTGCAGGCCTTTGGAATATTCAGAGCAACCGCAAAGGCCTAAACACCCTAAACCCCAAACCCTAAACAACAAACCCTAACCCTACACCCTGCACCCTAAACCCCTCTCCGAAGGAGAACTGGAACGTGCTGCTGCCGAACCTGGGCGCGACCACCGCGCGGGCGGTGTGCATGGGCTTGCATTTCGCCTCTTGGCCTGGAAGTTAGGGATTAGGGTTTAGGGAGTTTAGGGTTTAGGGGGCTTAGGGTTTGGGGAGTAGGGTTTAGGGAGTCTCTAGAGCGTATAGGGAGTTTGGGGCTTAGGGAGTTTACAGTGCAGGGAGTTTAGGGTTTAGGGGGTTTAGGGGTTTCTAAGCTAGTCTCGCTGTGGCTGGGCTGCGGGTTTGACAGTTTCGGGTTCGAGGTTTGCGGCAGAGCGGGGATGTCTTGGGGCTTCAAGTCATGACTTCAGAATCTTGGAGCGATTTAGGGTTTATAGGGTTTAGGGTAGCCCTTCTACTGAATTCGAGGGGTCGTTTGTTCTGGGACAGCTACCTGTGGTTATTGGAGGCTATGCCTTCGTGATTTTCAAACTCTCACGCCCTAACACCCCTAAAAAGCCCAAACCCTGGGTTCCTCTCGAAACTTCAGGATGCTCTGGAGGCCCCCTTTAACTGACTCGTGGCACACACCTCGTTAAACAAGCCCAAACTTGAGGCCCCACACGAACCCTAAAGCGACTCTACGGTCAGAACTCACTTTAAGGCCCTGAAGGACTCCGGACAGAGCCTAGTGAAGCCCAAGGTCACTGGCTCGGTGATCACGCTGGCTGGCGTGTGGCAGGTGCTGCCTGCAGCCTGGCTGGACAAACCTGAGGGTTTGGGAAGTTTAGAGTTTAGGGTCAAGAGGGCTTAGGGTTTCGGGGGGTTGAGAGTTGAGGAAAAGCTTATAGGATATCCTGCCTTAAAATTCCACCCATGCTTACTGAAGAATGACACTTACCAATTGTGCTAACATCGACCGGTACCATAAGGCTACTAGCCTGAAGCTGTTCCATGCGTGTTGGGTGAGGGATCGTGAAATTTGGGATCTAGAGTCAGCCTCATGTTTCGTCCCTTCCAGGACAAGCTGGCCTTTTGAAGGGTCAGAAAAGCCAGCCCCTCAAAGTAGCACTACCCGTTTTGTAAGCTTGTTCAAGCTATCTGCAGGGGAAGCTCGTAAACTGGCTTTTTCAGGAAATGCGACCTCTTGTTGGGGTTTTACTTTGTATGCCTTAAATGAGTGTGTTGCCGCAATGCCTTGTCAGCATGACGTTTTTTCTGCTGCACAATGTTCTACGATGTGCAGAGAATTTCTTGCAATCCCAGCAAATCCCAACACATTGTCGGACTTGTGAGGTCGTGGACTGAGTCCTAAGGGAATCCTAAGGGTTGACGGTGCGAGGGTTCAAGGGTTCTGGGGGGTTCTATGGTTCTAGTAGGGTTCCAGTAGGGTTCTAGGCTTCTAGGGTTCCAGGGTTCTAGGTTTCAGGGTTTCGGGTTTAAGGCTTAGGTTGACAAACCCATTGGACTAGATTGCCTCAACGACTCGAAAGCTGAACTCTAAACCTTCAATATCCCTAAGTCCCTCAAGACCCCGAGCCTAACGGGTTTAGGGTTTAGGGTTTAGGGTTTAGGGTTTAGGGTTTAGGGTTTAGGGTTTAGGGTTTAGGTCCCGAGTCCATCCTCAGGTCTCCAAGCGGCCGGAGTGGCTACCGACCCACCGCACTGTTGGGCGAATTTACGCCCGGGGGGGGGGGGAGGGAGAGTTTAGGGTTCAGGGTTTCGGATTTAGGGTTTAGGGTTTAGGGTTTCGGATTTAGGGTTTAGGGTTTGGGGTTTCGGATTTAGGGTTCAGGATTTAGGGAGGTTAGGATTTAGGAGAGGCTATGGAGAGGCTTTACGGCGTTGCTGTAGAAATTCAAGGCGGCAATGTGTACGGGGCTTGCAGAGGGTAGAGGCTTCCGCCCTCTTACTCAGCAGCACATGCCCGGAACACTCTAGAGCTTTCCTATTTGAAAGCATAACCTTGGCTGTCATTGTTGCAGAGTTCGGGGTTTCGGGCTCAGCATTCTGGGTTTAGGGCTTCTGGTTTAGGGTTTAGGATTTAGGGTGTAGGGTTTAGGGTAACTAAACAAGCCCTTATAATTACTCTCGGGGTTCAAGTCCTGAGCCTCGTGACTTTGCTTCACCAATCACTTCCGTTCGGCACGCCCTAAACACTAAGCCCTAAACGCTAAACGCGAAACCCTGAACCCTTAACCCTAAACTCTAAACCCTAAACCCTAAATCCTAAACCCTAAACCCTAAATCCTAAACCCTATACCTGAATGAAGCCTGCTCTAGTCTCCTGAAGCCTTGGCGCCACAAACCTTGCACCAACAAAAATAAAAGAAACCAGAGTAAGTAAGCTTTTGTCCTGAAACCGGAGTAACCCAGGAAGAAAAAGTTTTCTGGTGCAAAGGTGGTGAAAACAAGTATGTAACATATGACACAGCCCCCCAAGTCCCCCTTATCTTCGCCCCAAACCTTAAACCTATTCCAGCAACACTAAACCCCCCAAGACCCAAACACCCTAAACCCAGCACTCTGAAAGAAAAGGAAACCCTGGTAGGTCATCTGCTCTGTCTTGACCTGCATTGGCGGCTTCGGCTTCATCCTCCAGCAGTAGCCTGGGCTTTTAGAGCTTGGCTTTGGGGGTCGATGGTCGGTCGAAATCTTGGGTTTTTTGGGGCGCTGGAGTATAAGGAGTGTACGATAGTTGCGACTTAAAAGTGCCCAAAACTTGATATCGACCCCCATACAGTCTTGTGTGGAGTTCAAGGTGTCTTAAGTGTTGTCCCCCCCCCCCCTCAGCCAGCTGCTTCAGGGTTTAGGGTTTGCGGGCGATGCATGGGTTAGGGTTTAGGGCTAAGGGTGTAGGAGCAGGTAGTTCTTTGGAGGGTTAACCATCCCCTCTCCCATTTCCGCCGAGGCACATTCTCGCGGGTGGATGGCCCATGAGCCGTGGCTTAAGATGGGTTCGCGTGGAGGGGTCTGGAATTTTGTTCCACGACAGCCGAAAACCCTAATTCAGATCACTGACCAGTCTGGGCTAATTTGGATTCACGGCTGTTGTTGAGGCCCGCTTCGAAACCTACAGCCAGTGGCACCAAACTTCTGAACAATTAGCATAGTATATCCCATGAAAGTGGAGCTAAGCCGAACCCAAAAATGCCGAAAGCCGCATGACCCTCCGTAAATCTTGACCCGTAAAACCCTAATCCCCAAACCCTAAACCCTAAACCCTAAGCCCCAAACCCTAAACCTTAAACCCTAAACCCCAAACCCGAAACCCTAAACCCCAACCACCTCTACTCAGGAGCGCAGCCTTCACGGCCTACGGCTGCTGCGTCGTGGCATTTGCGCTGTCGCCCGGCGGCTTCTGAATCCGGGCTGAGGGTTTGGCTTGGGATGTCCCCCTTTGTATTAACAGTCCTTAAAAGGGACTATAGTACCCCCCCAATAGAATCCCGATTAAGGACTGCTAGTATAAGAACATCCCACGGTTAAGGGCTTTTGGATGTTTCTGATTTCTTGGGCTTGGGAAGTTTAGGGTAACTTGGGGTGGGGGTTTGGGAGCTTTGTAGCTTTTGGTTTTCAGAGGTTCTGGGTTTTTGGCGTTTTGTAGCTTTGGGGTTTCAGAGGTTTCTCGCGTTTCGGTGTTTTTGGGGCTTGGAGGGTTTGGGGATTTGGGGCTGGGGCTTCGGGTGTCAGGGTCTTCGGGCTTTTGCAAGTTTTGCGGATTTTTGGGGTTTCCGTAAACCCTAAACCCTACACCCCCAAAAGAAGGAGAAAAAACAATGGCAACTCGAAGGGCGCTGAAACTTCAACCCTAAGCCCTGGATGCCCTAAACCTGGCTTTAGTTAGGGTTCAGAGTTCAGGGTCTGAAACCCTAAAGGCACTACACGAACCTCTACAAGAGAGACAGCCCTAAAAGCCCTTGGCCCTCAGCACCCTAAGCCCTAAAGCCCCAAAAGCTGAACGGGTTCAGGGTGTCGGGTTCAGGGTTTAGGGTTTAGGGTTTAGTGTTTAGGGTTTAGGGTTTAGGGTTTAGGCGGTTTAGGGTTTAGGGTTTCGGGTTTAGGGTTTAGGGTTTAGGGAAAACACTGCAGACCCAAAAGGCTGGCGTACTGGACAGCCCGGCAGAAGGACATCGCGGCGCGCCCCGGGCAAGAATCAAGGTCAAACCCTTAAGCATTCCCTTAGTGTGGGTTCAGGGTTTAAAGTAAGTCTGAGCAGCCCCCTCAACCCTAAACCCTAAGCGCCCTAAGCGCCCTAAGAACCCTGAACCCCCATGTGCTAGGTCACAGGCTCAGTTTGCTTCAGGACCTTCAGTCAGGGTTGCGCGCAGGGTCTTTAAGGTTCAGGGTTTCAAAAACATGAACCCGACGAAGTTTGAGGCCAGAGCTCTTATGCCCTGAAGCTCTAGGGTTTAGGGTCTAGGGTTATAGGGTTTAGGAGTTTAGGGTGACACCTACCCCACACTTGGTTCAACTAGGCCAAGAACTCCTCCGGCCCAACGCCCCGAAGCCCTTGATCAGTATCCTAAACCCTTTTTTCCAGAGTCTTTCGCAGACCTTTTGTAGGTCACCTTTTTTTCCGCGAGTCCCCTCCAATCAAATCAACCCTAAACCCTACGCCCTATTTCGGGCGGGCCCTCTAGGTCATAAGTCTTAAGTCGAGGATGTGGTGGTCAGGGCTTTGGGTTCAGCGCAGTTTAGGTGTTTGTTGGGCTCAGGGTGTCGGGCGCAGCTTTGCTGTACGGGGTTTCGGGCTCAGGTCTGGCTTTCGGAGGGCCCAGGGTTTAGATCCCCCCCTTCGCGTTGCAAAACCCTCAACCGTAGACCCTCTAAGCCGCTACCACAGGCCGTATATACCCGATCACCCCTTAGTTTTCCTCGACCCTAAACCATGAACCCGATAGACCCTCAACCCTAGACCCTACGAGCCTTGTAATGGCACCGAACCCCACAAGCCCTTAAAGCCCAAAGGCTCCAAACCTTTACCCCCTCCCTGAGGCACCGACGCTGGGGCTTGCGCTCTTTCGCCATGGGCATCGCGTCCTTTGTGCGGCTAGGCCTGTTGTTTTGTGTTTTTTGGCAATTCCCTGCGCTAAATGCTAGTAATTAACAACCCCAACACACGACATCCCGAAATCCCCATTGGCCATAAACTGGGATGTTTGGGCTGGGGGATGGGGGTGTGAGGCTCACGAAAACAATGGCAACCCTATAAAACCCAAACCCAAGACCCCACAGCTTTGGGAAGATTCAGCTCCTCTACTGCTTTTTTGAGATCGGTGAGTCCCTAGCACCTCTGAGCCTCAGCTTGAGGTATCGCGTGATGCTGATTCTGGGCGTGAGGCTGCAGTTCAGCATGCACCAGGACACACAGACACACCAAAGCTTAAGGGACGCCTGATGAGCCGGCGGAAGGCGATCTCGATATTCTTACCCGATATACAACTCTTTCTATAGCACAGCTTATATTCCCCCTTGTTTCCCTAGGTAACCCAACAAAAAGCCACCAACAAGAAACTGGGCTTTCTTGTGAGGGTCCCTCCTCTGTTCCTCTATTTCCCCCCAAAGATCTAGAGGCATGGCTGAAAGCTCAGGGCTTAAAGACATCCTAAGTGCTGCGAAAGCTTGGCGAGAGTCCCGCGCCTGCTTGAACCCCCCCCCCCCCCCAACCCAAAACAAAAGAAGGAAAGGACCACTGTCTTGGGAGGCTGCCCAAGTATAGTGTTTACTTGGGATGTTTGGCCTTTGCCGGCCTTACAGCTTTCGGATGAGCCGAGCAACCCGAAACCCTAAACCCTGAATTAGGGGTCTAGGGTTTAGGGTTTAGGGTTTAGGGTTTAGGGCCCCGGCCACATGAGACCTGAAACCCTCACTCAGGAAGCCTCCAACCAGGCTACACCCTGCGCCTTGTCCACCCTAGACCCCTGCGACGCGCGTAGTTTTCCTAAAGCTCGAGGGGGATTCATCCAAACTCGGGATGTCCCCCCTCATACTAACAGTCTCAGTACTTAATAGGGATTTTTAGTACCCCCGACTATAAGCCCTATTAAGGACTGTTAGTATACGGGGAAACATCCCAAGTGAAACTACTAACCCTGATTTTGACCATCAAGAAGTGGAGCCTACATCCCAAGCCCCCAAACAAGGGTTTAGGGTTTCGGGTTTCGGGTTTGGGGTCTAAGGGAGGTTACATTGTTTCTGAATATGGCCCCTTGCCTCAAAAAGATCTCAAAAAGGGTTCTGAATTATAGGGCCCATGGGTTTATGAGCTATGTAAGGGGCTTTTAAGGGGCCCCTATCTAAGGGCCCACACTAAGGGACCATGTAACTCTTCTAAGACGAAGGATGAAACCACGGACATCGTGGATGCACACGGCACCACGAAGTTCTTCCGGGAGGATCCCTACAATCAGCGCTTCGCCTTGCCTTGAAATCCGGCCAAGTATTCGGGGGGGAGGGGCTGCAGACGCGTTCGATTCGAATTCCACATCAGGTTGTTGCTTGAGGTGTTGGGCTTAGGTTTTTTTTTGGGGCGGGGTTTGGGTTTTAGGGGTTTATTAGGTGGAGCCCCTCTTTTCCAGCACACTCCTCATGGTGCAGGTAGTTCTTTGGGATGCTTTCTTTTCTCCCTCGTTGGTCTTAAGAGGCCTTGTGTGGAAGGAACGTTGAAAGGGCCACACTCGGAGTGCAGGGTAGAGTTCCCAAAAGGGCCCATATTCGAGATAATGCATAAAATGTTTCTCGAATGTGTTGCCTATAAATCCGAGGCTTAGAGCTCTAAACCCCGAACGGGCTAAGCCAATAAGGGATTCCGAGGAAAAGCAGTCGCCAGCCAGGAAATTGGAATTGATAGTGTACATAGTATAAGATGGTGTATATAGTGTAAATGTTCACACATCATCAAAGACCCAGAATCCGAGCTCCAGCCGCATCAACTCCAAGTTTTGAAAAAGGCTTCCCTTGCAAGGTTCATCGCCTGGTTCTTTTTTGTGGGCAGCCTGGGCGTGGTGGCAACTTGGCAAGTTTGAAAAGGGGTTCCAGGTTAAGATCCTAGACCTTCGGGTTCAGAGCTCTTGTGTAGGCTTTGGCCGGGAGGCGGGGGGGGGGAGGGGGTCTCGTGCTTAGGCACCAGGGCTTTGGGTGAAAGGTTGCTGTGTTTTAGGGCTTAGTTATCTTATTCTTACTATTTTTTGGGCGGGGGTTGTTAACCTGGTTGGTGCTGGAGGCTTCTCGGACATGAGAGTGCCGGGCCATGGCTGTAGAGGGATCCCGACACCTTCAGACCTGAACCCGCTTTGCGGTCCCTAGGTGCTAAACCCCTTGTCTGGATGGTTTTGTAGGGGTGCTGGTGCTGAGGGTCCAGTCATCGCATGGCTGGGTGCTCTGAGTCTGTAGTGTGGGTTTCTGTAGGGGTTTGGGTTTTGCGCTTAAACGAATTGAGGTGCGCGGGGCTTTGGAAGGAATTGCCCTGCCCTGATTCCTGCAGGAGTGGTATCTGCGGGCGCCCAACAACCTTCTCAACCAGATCCTGCTCTTCTGCTCCCTGGTTTAGGGTTTCGGGTTTAGGGTTTAGGGTTTAGGGTTTCGGGTTTAGGGGTCCGTACAACCCTGAACTCAACCTTCGACCCCACCCCCACCGAGGCTTCTTCGCGGTGGTTTGCGTCGGCCTTGCCCTCTTCTCAGCCTGGCTCGTGCAGCGGCCCCTTCTGCGGCAGTTTGGTTTACACAAACAGTCCTTGGTAGGGATTGTAATAGGGGGTACTAGAATCCCTCTTAAGGACTGTTAGTATAAGGGCCCCTTCTGTGGCAGTTTGGAGTCTCAGGGTTTAGGGTTTGAGGGTTGTTGCTCTGCGTTTTGGGGTTTTTGGTGCTTGCAGGGTTTTGCGTTTGAGCTTAGGGCTCACCAACACCCTCCCTCATCTTGTTCTGCATAGAAGCGGCGCATGCGTGTCTCCTCATGCCTCGCACATCTAGCACCTAGTTTTAGTAGTTGTTGTATCTCTCTCTCTCTCTCTTTCTCTCTCTCTCTCTCTCTCTCTCTCTTTTTATGATGGAGGGGGGATTGGGTGCATTGGAGCCCTCTTGGGTTCAATTCAACGTCTTCAAGGACATTGAGGGTTTGAGGGTTGTCGCCTTCAGTGCTTTAGGGCAACCCTCTCATCCCCAGCAGCTTTCCAAACTTGCGGGGATCTGCTCGCCGAGGCTTATGTCCCACTCAGACTAAGGCTGCGACGCCTGAGAGTTGGCACTGAAACCAGGTGCGGTTCAGGGTTTATAAGGTGCAGGGTTTAGGGTTTCGGGTTCAGGGTTAGGGTTTAGGGGTTTAGGGGTTTAAGGTTTTTGGGGGTTAGGGTTCAGGCTGTTCGGGTGTTGGGCGTTGGTGTCAGGACCACAAGCGTCTAACCCACTTTTGTGCTTTTGCTTGGCGTCGGCATCGGTGAACTTGCTTAGGACCAGGAGCTCCACCCTAAACCCTCAACCCTAAACCCTAGACAAGATGATCCTTGGGGCCTTTGATATCAATATGGGTCAATTCTTGTAATGTATCAACCCAACTAGAACTACAACAGAGGCATGCCCTGGCACCCTTGTGTATTCCCAGTTTGGCCTTTGACCTAGTACCCCTTCAACCCCTCACCCCCAGGCCCCTAAACCCCACAAAACCCTGAAAAACCCTAAGCCCGACAACCCTAAACCCTGAAAAAGCCTAAGTTTGAAACACGAAAACCCCTAAACCACGAAGCGCCTCAAGCCCTGAGCGCCACCCCCCCCCCTCCCCCCCCCCTCCCCCTGCATTCCTCTCAAGCCCTAAACCCTAAACCCGAAACCCTAAACCCTAAACCCTCTGAAGCCCTGAACCCGGTAGATGCCGCGCCTTGGAATCACAAAAGATGGGCACTGCATGGGCTTGCCAAAAGGCGTTCATGGCCCGTTTTAAGGCTAGTCCAGGGGCTTAGGGCTTAGGGATATTCAGGGTTTAGGGCTTAGGGCAAAGGACTTGTTTTGTTCCAAGTGTTCTAGAATTTGCAGCCTGTTCCTCTTCGCATGTCGTTGATCGGGCATGTTGTCCCCGCAGCCAGCACGAAGCACCGAATGGAGTCGACGGGGCAGCCAGGACGTGCAGGTCAAACCTCGCGCCAGGATGGCCCTTGCCAGACCTTCTTCGGTCATGCTACCTCGGAAAAATGTGTATCTCAGGCTTGCGACGACGACCACCCACCTTCGCCCTTAACGCTCTTCAAACTCATACAGTACTGCGCGAACTGCAGGGCTCTGTAGGCTGCATCAGATCATCAGTGCATGTTGGGGAAGCAGCTCAGAACAGCCATTTCCGACCTTGAAAAACCCAAAAACCCCACAAGCGGAGTGCTGAAAAGCGAGGGCGCCACGTTCCCCACAGGTTTCCGAAACGGATCGAGGGCGCCTGCTGAGGAAGCTCAGAGATATAAGCAACTCCCAAGTCCTAAGACATAGGTTCTGGGCAACCCGAAACTCTACAACCCCAACCGCTCAACTGGCGGTTCAGCTTGAGGTGGAATGAGGATGCGATGAAGGAGCCCAAGACGGGTGAGGGACTGAGGCTTTAGTGGTTTTAGAGTCTATAGGGCTTAGGGTTTCGGATTTAGGAGCTTATAGGGTTGAGGGTTGCGGGCTTGGGTTAGGGTTCAGGGCTCATGGTCGCGAGGGGCTTAGGGGCTTACAGGGTTGAGGGGTTGCCGGCTTAGATTAGGGTTCAGGGCTTATGGTTGCGGGCTTTGCGCTTGGGTTCGAGACGACAATAAGAAACAGGCTCTGGGGGCTTGAGGGATAAAGGCCCTTAGGTTTTAGGGCTTTAAAGGCCTGCAGAGCGAATCCGCCTTCAGGGCGAAGAACACCTTAGACCTTTGGCCTCACACCATGAGCCCAAGAAGCGCAACACAGGACTTGGGTCAGCTCTCCAAGTTAGTATCCGTTATCCGTGGGTCCCCGTTGTTTCGGTCTCTGATTCGTTTATGTGATTAGCCTGCATTTACTTCGATTTTGCTTGTTTTCGATTTTTTACATGTGCAGAAACACATATATGTACAGTTTCAGAATTCCCGCGAAGGGAAGAACGCTCAGAGCCTTAGAGGACATTCCACATGTGCAGCAGGCCCTTGTGCAAAACGCCTATAGGGCCTATTGCACTGCGCCAAACCCTGGAATCTTTATCGGCTGAGTTTGGGGGCTTTGGGGTGTGTCAACTTAGGGCTGGAAGGCTTTGATCCAGACGTTCCTGGGATCTTGCCAGAACCCTGAGTCACAAGAAAGCGCCTAAAACGCGGATCAGGGCCTGAGGTTGAGGGGCTTCATGGGGTCGGAGAACCCGTTAACGTCTAACACCCGCCTCAGGGTTCTAGGGCTGCCCTGGAGAACCCCAGAGCCTCCCCAAAGCAGCAAAACCAAAAGCTTAAAGTGGGAGGGGATGCTGAGGTTCGGACATGTTCTTCGTGATGAAGCCTCCGCCTCAGGAATTAGCCTTGCATGTGCCGGGTTTAGGATTTCGGGTGCCGGCTATGTCTGCTGGCCCTAGGAGGCTGGGCATCTCAGTGCCCCCCCTCGGGTGCTAGCGTTCCTTTTCTGTACTGAATCCTAAATCCCAAATTCCCCAGACTCACCACCCCGCAAAGCCTAAACATGGATGATGAGGGTTGATGCTGTATGCACCAGCATTCACGCACCCTTCCCCCCCCCCCCCCTCCATGGTACCCACCCCCCAGCCCGCCCCCCCTCCCCCGCCCCCATGGTTCACAGTTAGTGACCTTATTAGGGCTTTGGTTTAGGATTTCCCTTCTGTGCTTCATGGTCGTTCATGGTCTGTGGTTTCGAGAACTTAGGGGTTTCCTGTGGTTCCCCAACCCTAAACGCTGAACCCAAAGCCCAACCCTACACCCACCCACACACCCAAAGAGCCGCAGCCAGCTCAGGATGAGGCAGGTCTCCAGCGACACGCCCCTCTCGAAACAGTTCAACGGCCGGCACCCTGGAAGATTTCTGGTTTAGGGTTTTAGGGTTTCGGGTTTTAGGGTTTAGGGTTTTAGGGTTTCGGGTTTAGGGATTTTGGGCGATGAGGGGGAAACCTTAGCCGCGCGAGCCCTATCAAACGTCAGAATGCTCATCACAACACCCCTATACCCGAAACTGGAGAGCCTAAAGGAAGGTACTCGTAGAGTTTAAGGCTTTAGGGGCTATTGTTGCTGGGCCCCGAGCCCAAAAACCCCTCCAACCCCAAACCCTAAACCCCAAACCCTAAACCCTAAACCCCAAACCCCAAACCCTAAACCCTAGACGATACCTTAAGCCCGCAGGAGCTGAGGACTTGTAAGGTCTCAGGAGGTTGGGGAGTCCAGACTGGAAGGCTGGGGAGCCTGTGCGCAATCCCCAGCTTTCCAGTTTAGGGTTTAGGGTTTAGGGTTTAGGGTAACTAGCTCCATCAAGTAGCCCACAGCTTCTCGCGACCAACTTTGAGAGAGATGATACGGGATCATTCGAAGCCGTCCCAACCTTCGAGCTCGCAGAACGCCAAACAAACCCCAAATCCGTTAAGCCTACTCTATAGCTGAGCTGTTTAGGGTTTCGGGTTTAGGGTTTTGGGTTTACCCTAAACCTGCTAAACCTGAGCCTTCAGCCCAAGCCTCTCAACATGACTGGGCTGAATTTCTTTTGTCGTGTACCTCCCTGTGTGGTTGAGACACCGTGGTCCCTAAACGGCGAAAGCCTCTAGAGGCCGCCCTCTGAAGATTACTCGCGCAAGGGGTGTGTATACATGGCATTTCCTCCCAATAAGGAGCCTTACTTTTAAGAAGAGCCCCCGAGGTGAGTGGGGCTTTTGGGAAAGCTTTTTCGTTCCGCTCCTGGACGAGCAGCAGACGATGCAGGTGCCAGGGGTTTTTGGGAACCTTACGTCCTCGGGAATCACCCTCATCCCAAGGCATAGAAAGGGCGTGGAGACCGCACACCCTAAACCTTAAGCCTATAAGCGGTGCATGCCCTCTAAGCCCCAAACAAGCCTATAAACCCTCCAAGCCCCCTAAGCCCTGAACACCCAAACCCTTTTGAGACTATTCTGAAGTTTGAGCATTGACAGGACGGTTGTCAAGATGCATCAGGGCATAGGTTCTGCAAGCGCCCTCATGACACGGATGGAAGCTAGGGGGCTGAGTGTTCAGGCTTGCAGGTTGTGGATTCAGGATTTTAAGGGATTTAGGGTTTAGGGTTTAGGGGGCTCAAGCCGCCGAGCCCGCAGGAGAAATTGTTCAGTCGTTCAGGGAAGGGGTCCGTCGCCAAGGTTACCAACAAAGGTTTTTTCTTTTTTTTTCAGGGAGGTGTTGAGGGGCTCCCAGAAGGTTTATCAGGCCATTCGGGCCATAGGGGTGTCCCTAGGGTTACAGCTCAAAACCCCAAACCCTAAACCTTCTTTAGCCCTGAGTTGCAGCTGTTGCTTGGTGATCCTTAAGCGCTGTTTGATCTGCTGACGCTGCATTGAGCCAAGTGAGGGCACACGGACGACACAACCACAAACCCCCGAGCCCTAGACGAAACCAGAAAGCCACCCTAACATCTAGATCCCCAAAAGCCCTCAGCTCCACGCCAGTCCCTCTCGCTGCTGGACCCTGCCATGTGCGAGGCGTGAGGGCATCGCCTCTTTTGGTTCTTCCGCAGGTTCGGGGTTCCGGTGGCCCTGTGGTGCCCTGTGGCTTCCAACCCCCACAAGGGCACCTCTTTGCAATAGGGTTTGCTGGGGCTACCAAGATTTGGGGTTCAGGCTTTGGGGTTGGGGTTGGTAGGTCATTGTTCGCATAGTTTTTGGCACATGCCTTGTAGTGGGGTGTGTGGGGGTTTGTGGGTTTGGGCGCCGACCACTTTGGCGCTTGATGGTTGGTTATGGAACAAGCTTGTTGAGCCAATGCGTCGACCGACGGGAGACTTTGTCGGCTTTGCCTTCCCAAAGTTGCCGAGCAGTCCAGATGCGAAAGATTCTTACAGTAGGGCCCAAGGGGTTTTGGGATTTTTTTGGATTTTGGGAGAATTCGGACTTTAGAGCTTGAAGGTGCGGGCTTTAGGGTGTTAGGGTGTTAGGGTTCGGGGCTAACTCCGTGCAGGACTTCTTCGTCTCGCAGCGGCTCCCGGTGAGATGCCATTCGTGCCCCAAGGGACGCGAGGCGGAGAAAGCATGGGTCGGGGCTGTACCAGGATGGGTTATTATACCCGATAATCCCTTAAAAAGGCCCTTTATAGGGTTCATTATGGGGAGTTTAAGCCCTAGTAGCCCATCCTGGTACAGGCAGGTTAGGGTTCAGGGTTGAGGGTTAAGCGGCGTTGCAGTTTCAGGTTTTTTTTTTGTTGGTTTTGGGTGTTGGAGACCCCTCCGGTCTTGGTATGGTACGTAGGAGATCAGGCACCTTAAAGCAAGCCCCAGAACATACAAGAACCTACAAGCCCTGTACACCCTGACCACAAAAACGCAGGACACCCAGCTGGTCTTGGTTCCTGCGTGTGCGTGTGCTTGTGCGCATGTGTGTGTTGGGGGAACTTAGAGTACTGTCTGTTGAAACCCTAGTGCAAACTGTGAAAACCCTCGACTCTAGCAGCGAATCCCTAAGCCCAACCAACTAACCCTAAACTCCAATTCCTTTCGTGCGGATTTGGGGTTAGGGTTCTAGGGTTGTAGGTTAGGGCTTGAGGGCTTTACACCGAAAATCATCCCTCAGCAGGTGCTCACCATTCCTGACGACTTGGTGGTGCGGTACACGCTGAAGGCCTCGTCTAAGGTATGCAGGCGTTGTTGATAGAACCATAAGAATCATAATGTAACAAGGGCTTGAGGGCTCGAAGCTCGTCATGTTTCTCCGGCTTTTGAAATCAGTAGCTCCGGGCGCCTTCGCTGGGCACCTTCGCTGGGCAGCAGAGTTTGGGCATTCAGCCTTGATTCTGGTGGAGTTGGGTCGCAGCTCAGAGGGCTCCCTGTTTGTAAATGGGAGGGGAGCGGCGCGCCCGCCAACGCCCCCTGCTTCTTTAGGCCGCACAATGCTTTGCCTCACGAAGCATATGACTCTTTGTGAGCCCTCCTACTCAAAAGCCAGGGTCGGCGGCCGCTCCAGATTGTCAGGGGTTCACTTTGTGATCAGGGTTTATGGTTGGGGGGGTGTAGGGTTGTAAGGCTTAGGGCTGAGAATTAAGGGTTGAGATTCGGTGTCAGGGTTCACGGTTCGAATCTTTAGGGTTTGAGAGTGGAGGAGTGGAGGGGTGCATATAAATATAAATAAATAAATAAATATATATATATATATATGTATATGTGTATGTATACATATTTGTGTGTACATATATATATACACACATATATATATATATATATATGTATCATTTTACTATATAGGGAATTCTATTAGAAATTATTTCGACCTCTATATTAGGGTTTTTGCAGCCCATCTCCTCGAGGAGATCAAACCGGGAAACAGAACCTCCACAGGTTAGGGTTTAGGGTTTAGGGTTTATAGGGTTTAGGGTTTAGGGTTTAGGGTTTAGGTTTAGGGTTTAGGGTTTAGGGTTTAGGGTTTAGGGTTTACAGCCCGGAACGCTGCTTGAGGGGCGCCCGCCCGCGAGGTTGTCTGCAAAGACATGGACCAGTGGTCGGACCTTTGCCATAAAATCGGCCACTCAGCTCGAAAAAAGATGTATGCATGTGTGTGTGTGTGTGTGTGGAGGGGCGGTGTTTGAAGCACCCTGCAACCCTAAGGCGTGAATGCGCAGCCGGTTTGCAAAGAAGCAGAATGTAGATTCCATGGACGGCCGTGGGGTTGCCTCAGCCTGAAATCGAAACTGACTCCCCTGCAGCCCCAGAAGCCTGAACTCGAAACTCCTATGCGGCCTTCAAGGCCCTGCAATGTACTCGTAGGCCCTTTGTACAGTCATGGGATGTTCCCCACCCCTCAGCCTAGGTGAGGATATGATCATGCAGGCTGGGAGGTTTAGGTTTAGGGTTTAGGGTTTAGGGTTTGAGGTTGGGGATTTAGGAGCAGGGCATCAGTTGTCCGAGCTGTGTTCTCGCAGACATCAAGCACACTTGACCCTGAAACCCGAAAGGTCCACAGGTGTAAGTTTTCAAATCGGGTTTAGGATTTGAGTTAGTGTTTCAGGTTTAGGGTTTAGGGTAAGGGGCAACGGGTGGTCATCGTAACCCTAGCTGACTCTAGCTGCCCTAGTTACCTGTCTCCCCAGTTTGGAATTTCGGCCTGTCTCTACATGGTCGCTTCTCCCAATGATTGTCCCTTTCGGGGTTGCTATTATGCGGCGGCCCCTAATATTTCGGGTACACAAAAAGGGACCATACTTTTGAGAACAATCCGGACAACGGGCCCTGGGTTGCCGTGGACTTTCTTTGAGGGGAAATGTGCGTTGCCCTCAACTGCTGAAGCTTAGCGTATTCGCCTTCAGGTTTACACTAGACACATATATGTGTGTATATCTAATTAATGAATTAGTTAGTTAATTAATTAATTAACTAACTAACTAATGAACAGATACTTCATTAAGGAGTTAACTTTTTTCTTTATGTATTTGTTTATATCGGTGCGTATATGCTACTCATGGAGATGTCTTTCTGCTTGTTTAAGTACCTTGTACTTTGCCCGGTGTCAAGATTCTGGTCTCACACTCTGCAGGTATCATGGGCCTCCCGAACTCATGTTTTGGACTGCAGACCTCAAACTTTTCGGGTTTTAGGTTTTAAGGGCGTTTTCGGGTTCAGGGGTTTAGGGTTTAGGGTTTATAAGGGTTGCAGGGTTTAGGAGTTTAGGGTTCAGGGGTTTAGGGTTAGGGCAACCAACCAAATAAGCCAACCAGTCCCTGCACCTTTGGATTGCCCCGAATGCCTTTATTGGGGGGGGGTTGGGCCGGGGTTGGGTCGGGGCGGGGTTGGGTCGGGGCGGCAGGACAACTGCATCATCGAGTACAAGCACCTCAAGCAGGGGCCCCGGATTCCGGATTTGTTCAACATCTAGGCTATCCTATGCCCTCCACCAACGATGAAGACAGACACGGCAAAAGCCCCTGCTAAGCTTGCTAAGCCCTCAAGGCCTATAGACCACTCTTAAACCCTAAGCCCTATAAGCCCTCAACTGGCACTACACCTCAATCCCCTACACTCCTAAACCACACGAAGGCCTGGGGACGAGTGTGTGGAAGCATACCACGAGATGACGGGCACCGAGGATGCAATCCTGGAGTTGAACTCCTTAAGTATGGGCCCTTGGATTGTATGGGGTATATAAGGGGTTACAAGGGGTCCCCTTTTAAGGGCCATACTCAGGGACCATGCAACTACCCTATCCATTCAGGGTGGCTCATCGCTTGGTTTCAACACCCGTGCTGCTGCTTGTTGCGCGGGCTTAAGTGTTGTGGGTTTAGTTGGCCGCATGTACGGCGACACTTTCGCCTCCTTTTTGCCCGACGCACATGCTACACCCCGCCCCGCTCATTAACAAAAGCATAGCAGTAAAAATAGGCGAAACGATAGCAGATAACATAAGAACAGCATATCGTGAAAATAGTAAGAATGACTCGATCTAAGCCGTGCACGGCGGTGTGTTTAGGGTTTGAGGTTTAGGGCTTGGGGGTCAGGGTTTGAGGTTGAGGGGTTTGAAGGTTTTAAGGGTTTAAGGGTTGGCCCAGGCCCTTGGGTTAAGTTAAGTGGGGAGGGAGGGGGGGTGAGGGGGGGAGAACCCTATGATGCCCCACGCCCTAAACTCTTAACTCATTGGCGACAGGCCCTAAACTGCTTGCACTCAAAAACCCGATAGACGCTATAAGCCCTAGACGATGAGACTTAGAAAGCCCAAAACCCAGTCAATGAAGCCCTAAACCTAAACCCTAACTTACTGTACTTAAAGAAACCCAAACCCTACCCTAAACCCTTCGCCTCAAGCCCTAAGCCCTAAACCCTAAAGCCTAAACCCCCAACCCCCAAACCCTAACCTCCCCCCCCCCCCCCAAACAAACAAACAAAAACCACTTCAACTCGATCCCTGCAGTCACCAGGAGCACGCCCGCCTCATCAAGCGCGACTTCGAGCTTCTTAAACTGCCTGTCGCCCGAGCCCCTGAGGGCCGAGAGCTTAGGGTTTAGGGTTTATGGTTAGGTTTTAGGGTTAGGGTCTAGGGCTTAGGGTTTAGGGGGTTGGGTTTGGGGTTTGGGGTTTGGGGTTTAGGGTTTAGGGTTTAGGGTTTAGGCCTTACAGGGCTTAGGATGTCCAGGAGTTTTTCTATATTGGGTTTAGGGTTTGGGGCGAGGGTTTATCGGGGTTTATGCGGGGGTAGGGTTTCCGAGTCAGGTTTTAGGGTTCTGTGCTGTGTGTTTTTTCGGGGGTGTGGTTTGCGGGCCCCTCAAACCCTGCACATTTTCAGGTGCTCCCGATTATTTTTCCGGCTATATTTTAAACACAGGTACAACCTCAAAACAATGGTAGGTCATTGGAGCCCTAGACTCCTAAACCCGAATCTCTGTTAAAACCCGATGATGCCAACATAGTACTTGCGGATGGAGTGGAGAGTGCGGGAGGGGGGGGGGAACCATAGTCTAGAATTCCAACTTTGCCTACATGCAACTCTTAAAAAGCTAAGCCCCAGGGTTTCGGGGTTTAGGGTTTAGCGGTCAAGATGATGGCTCAGGTCTTGACCTTCGAGTGCGACATGAAGGTTGCTGCGGAATGGAGGCCTCCAACCCGAAAGTCTTAAGCCTGAGTTCCCACATTCCGACTGGTTTCGATTCTTGTCGGTGCAAGGTCATCATTTGGTTGATTTGGGAGCGCGTGGTGGTGCGTGGGGTTGCAGGGTCAGGGAGAAGTGTCGGGTTGGAGGCGTTGAAGGTGACATCAGCAACCGTTCGTCATCCTGTTGCTCAGGGACGTGCCCCGTAGTGCGTTGCGGCCTTCGTAGCCGACGCCATGGAGGCCGTCGAAGAGGTAGCAGCTGGCATGCCCGAAGCCTGGCGAGATGAAGTTCGAATGGCGATGGAGCGGCCAGAAACATTCCAACCTGGCCAGCACGCAATCTCCACAGGGTTACATCAGAGAGCCGAAGAGTTTCGGATCCGACTTTTCGTCTACCCAGCCGGCTACAATGTGGAAGTGCCGGGCAAGTACTTGTGCATCTACGTGGAGATGCTTCCGCCGCTAGCCTTGCGGACGAGCGGCCACAGCTGGATGTGCGAAGATGTACATGTCGAGATCGGGGTTGTCGATGAAGAGGGCAATGTTGATGAGATGTGTGCTGGTTGGTTTACCTTCACAGACTCGGCATACCGCGCAGGGTTCCATGATGTGATATTTCTGGAAGATTTGGAGGACTACCTCCAAGAAGGACATCTCCACCTCCATGCCGTTGCCGACAGAAGGCCCCGGTGTCCTGGCCGGAGGGAAGAGGTGGAGGTGACTCTACGTCGTGGCGACTTGGCGGCTGAGCCCGGGTCCTTCGTGCGCTCCCGACGCGCGGGGTTGCCGAACAACTTCATGTTCCTTTTGGACGTGTTCCCACATGGCTATCCGGATCAGGAGGAGAAGTTTGGCGTGGTTTTGGAGATGTGGCCCGGGCGGGCGCAGGAGTGGTGGGAATCCGGGTCTGTGAGGTGTCAGCTATCCATCTGCAGTGGGGCTGAAGAGTCTGTGCTTGACACAGCTTATTTCACATTCGATGCTGACGACTTCCGCATGGGCTGGTCCGATCTTCAAGCAGAGAGGTTAAGCCGTTGGAGAGGCGGGGCCTACGGCGATGCATCCGTCACTTTCAAGGCCAGTTTGGAGTTTCCTTTGTCTGAGGATGAGTGGAATGATTTTGTCCATGACGTGGACTTCACGCAGATGCCAACATACATCACCTTCCACCTGGCAGAAAAGCCTCCCATGTATTTCGACAAGCGCATTTTGATAAGTAGTTCTGACTACTTCGAGCACATGTTGGGCGATGCGGGCTGGAAGGAGGCACAGAGCAACGAGGTAGACCTGAGCAGCGACCCCTTGGTTGACCACCGTGTCATGACGGCCATATTCCATTTCATGCTGTCTGAGACATTTTCTTGCCACGGAGATGTGATGTTTGCCTTGTCTGTGCGGAACCTTGCTGACCGGTATGGTCTGACTCGCCTTGTAGAAAGGACAGAAAGCGAGCTTGAAGACCTACTGTCAGAGGATAATGTTCTGTCAGTGCTGGCACATGTGTTTCTCAGCGGCGGCAAGCTAGAGCACATGTGCGTGGAACTTGTCAAATATAACAATTGTGAGCTCTTGTCCCGGCAGAAGGACAAGCTGTTCCAAATGATGACAGACCACCCTGTTTTGGCAAAGAAACTGGTGAACCTGTCCCTCCTCTGTCTTGGAGAAGCCTCGCAAAGGTTGGAACAGACCTATCACGCACCGCAGCAGGCTTCGAATGTCTAGGATGAGCTGTTTGCCATGGAAAAGACAGCTTCCTGGAGTGTGGGGGTCTAGTTTCTTTTGCGAGGGCGTATTGAAGAGAGCCCTAAGCTTCCCAAGCGAAGCATCAAGCTGCCCTACGGCCAAACGGACGTTGTTTCGGCTTGGGCATCTACCATTTGTGGGCCTTGAGCCCTAAACCCAGATCCTCAAGGCTTCCGGGTGTTCGGGGGGTGACCCTCCCAAACCTAAAGTCCGGCACCTCGGGGGCTGGTTTTGGGATTTCGGGTTTAGGGTTTAGGGTAACCGGCTGCAGGCCAGACATGATCTCGCTGCAGCACAAGTACGATGCTTTCGGAACAGCCGCCAGCTTGCACGGGTTTGGGTCTACCTTGAGAATCCAGAACCTACTTTTTTTGTAGGTTACATAAGAATCCTGTAAAGGGGGTTCAATCGCATTTTAGGAATTCAGAACCTTCTTTTTTGTAGGTTACCTAAGAATCCTGCAAGGGGTTTTGTGTTTAGTACATGAATACCAAAAAGTAGGCGTTGGGTTCTTGAGGTAGGGTTTAGGGCCGTGTGATGACTTCGGGTTTAGGAACTTCGGTTATCCTCGACTCCTGCTGCTGCTATCGATGCTCTTCACAAGCCACTTCCGAGCGCGGCAAACCCTTCAGCCCTGCAAAGTGCAAAGTAAGTGGGTCACGGCACCCACCCACCTCAAAATCATAAAGAAATCCGAGGTAGGGTTGATGCTAAACCTTAAACCCTAAACCCTAAACCCTAACCCTAAACCCTAAACCCTTACCCCTAAACACCCTGGAGCCCTGGAAGCCCTCTTTAGGTTTACCACTCGAACCTCCTTGGCGGCTTCAGCTCTCTCAGCGGAGCACGCGGGGAGCCCTAGGGTTTAGGGTTTAGGGTTTAGGGTTTAGGGTTTAGGGTTTAGGGTTTAGGGTTTAGGGATGTCCTCTTTGTCTTGGGGGCTGAAAGGGCAGATTCTTATCGCACATGACAGCTGGTACATCCAGTCATTGAACCAGGTTTTTGTTTTAGGGGCTTGTGATGAGTTACAGCACCAACTTCTCAAGCGCCCCGCCCAAAAAGCGAACCCGAAGCCCTAAGCCCTACAGAGGCCGAACCCTAAAACCCTAAACCCCGAAATCCCAAGATAAACCTGTAAACTACAAACTCCAAAACCTGAGCCTTGAGCCCTAAACGTGTAGGCGGCGTAGTGAAAGCGTTGAGGCGCCGATCCCTGGCATCCCATGGCACGACTGGCAGTGAACGCCCTGAGCAAGGCCTGAGCCAGGGGACCCTGAACCCTAAACCCTAAAACCCAAAAGCCCTGTCTCAAGAGCCTTGAAACCTAAGCCCGATAAGACTCAAGCCCGGTAAGACTCTGAACCACGTGCCTGTAAAAAAAGGTGAGGACACGCGAGGGTTCTAGGTAGCCACCCGGGAGGGTGTTGGGCTTTCTGGCTTCGCATTTTTAGGACTGACAGTGTTGCAAGGGTGGAAATCTAAGGCTTGGCGGTCTACACCCTTTTCAAACCCAAACAGCCAACACCCGAGGATCGCAAGGCCCTGGGAAGAGCAGTTAGAAGAGCACCAGCTCAGCTTTCGCGACCGATAAGATTGAAGCATTAAGGCTTTGTTCCCCCCTGCCCCCCCCTACCCCCCAAAGTCTCGTAGGCTGCCCTCCTATTTCGGGTGCATGGCTTAGGGCTGAGGGTTTGGGGTTTCAGGGTGTGAGGGGTTCAGGATTTAGGATTCAGGCTGCAGGGCTGCCGGGCTGAGGTTGAAGAGTTTTGCATCCCAGGTAGGCTGCTAAGCCCCTTGACGTCGAATCCCAAGCCTTTGCGAGGTTGCTGTGTTTAATGATCCTAAACCAAACCTTAAGCCCTAAACCCTGAACACCAAACCCTCAGCCCTAAACCGTCAGTTGATGGCACGCTTCCCGGACATCCGCACCCTTTTGGACGTCGGCTGTGGCGACATGTCCTGGATGCAGTGCCCATCTCCCTAAACACTAAACCCTACACCCTGAAATCGAAGCCGGCATGCTTTGTTTAGAGCCCCAAGCTCTTGGAGAGTTGCGGTCCGGGTATGCTAGTATGTAGGCTCCGGGCTGCCCAAAGTTTTGAGGGTTTGGGTTGAATTAGGGTTAGTGTTAGGGCCTAGTGTTCCTGAGCTCACTGAAGACTGGACCCCATAAGCCCTGGAATTTCAGAGGTACTTCCTGGAAGAGCATCCGCTGATCACCTATGTTGGCGTGGCCGGGGGCTCTGGTTTCAGCAGTGCTTTGGGTTATTTGGGCCTGGGTCTTTGGGTTTGAGGAAGCTCGATGGTTTCTGGAGATACCGTTTACACGAGGTACCGCACATTGGGGGGCGGCGGGGCCAGTTCTTTGCTTTCTGGGATTTCTCAGTTCCAGGGTGTGTTGTAACCTGACGCCTTGCAAGGGGCTCGGTAGGACCTCGGGGCATCCTTTCAGGTTTAGGGCTTTCCTTCCCTTATTGGGCTTAAGAGGGTTGTGTATTCAGTGTCCACAAGTGTTTTGGGGTCATAGAGAATCTGTCTCCTGAAAGGGATTCCCTTTAGGGACGCCCCCCCCCCCCCACTGTTTTAGAGCCCCTGCTTAAACGATAAGGTACCTATACATATATATATATAATATGTATATATATATGTATATATATATATATAGATGTATGTATATATATATATATAGATATAGATGTATGTATGTCTAGGTCTCCTTTGCCAGGATGCCCCATCCCTTCAAGAGGGGTTAGCCTCCCGTTGGCATCCCCTTGAACCAAAATGCGCCCTAAGCCCCAAACCCCAAACCCTGAACCTCTTTGAGCTTAAACCCTGAACCTCGGGCTTGTCTACCTGGGTCTCCAAAAGACCCTATTACTTTTGGTTGTTTGGAAAAAACCGGGTTTTTTAGGAAACGCCCGTAAAAAAAACAAACGCCCGTAATTCGGGAAACGCCCGTAATTCCGAGCTCGGGGAGGATTAGGATTTTACGGGAAACGCCCGTAATTCCGAGACCGGGGAGGATTAGGATTTTACGGGAAACGCCCGTAATTCCGAGATCGGCGAGAATTAGGATTTTACCGGAAACGCCCGTACTTGCAAAATCGGGGAAATGAGAATTCGGCATAATAAAATGTACCAATACAACCCACCAAGCACCAAGCTTATAGTGAAGCCTGAACCCTGTCCCCTTCCAGCTCCTGCAAGGTTGAAGGGTTTAGGGGTTTAGAGAGGGAACACAGGAATGCTCCGGCGAACCCAACTGTAAAATCCGACCCACAATCCTTCTCAAACCTTTCCCGAAGCCCTGTATAGACCAACGATATATGGACCTGCCCAAGCGACACTTATCAGGAGACTTGATAACAGCGGACCCCAGAGACCCTAAGCCTCAGCCAACCTTTCTCGAAGCCCTGTATAGCACAACAATATAGGTTATTCTGAGTCTTTAACACCAACCCTGC